CCCATCGCGGATCTTTCGCAGACACTCTATTTCACATGTTAAAACCGTTTTATATAATCCCCACACAAGGACCTTTAGATAATGCTCTAATATATATATATATATATATATTAAGTGGCATGCACCGAAAGAACCGTTAGCGCTCAACTGCATACCGACACGTGCGTGCATCTAAACTTGCCTGTCCATCTGTTCATCGACTTGTCAGGTGCTTAGGGCTCCGCTAGTCTGAGGTTGTGTGCGCTCCAACTGTGCAAAGCATCTCTTGACTTGAGCATGATACCAACTCAAGCACTTGACTGGTTCGCATCACCTTGCAATCTGGCTGTGGACTTGGACGGACTCGCGCCAAGAAGCACATTTCAAGGCTTTCAGCCACAGCTTCCCAGGGAAGGCCAGGATTTGAAGGATCTCCGAATCTGCTGGCAGGTTGGCAGCCTTCACTCAGAACGGACAGGAACTCAAACCTAAAGTTTGCACCGGCAGCGATGAATGTTAATGTTCTCGTTCTCAGAGTCCTTGAAGCAGGTCTCTACCCTTCATGGCATGTCGAACTGCAGCAGGGCTTGAATGCGGAATTGGAAAGCCTCCACTCACAGGTTCTTTGGCTCTTGGGGATAGGGGGTTTCACATCTGTCCACCCGCCGTTTGTAGACGGGCCCTGGAGATCTTGTATAAAAACGGAGAACAGGCCAGTGTCGCTTCGGCTAAGGTTTTTTTGCATCCAGTGTGATGTCATAAACCCTGCTGCAGACAGGTGAACCTGCAACCACATCTTTATAGGCTCTGTTTCTATTTAATGCCAAATGCTGATGTTCTGAGACCTTTGTTTCTTCTTGAATTTTGCCACAGCACCAAAGAGAGAAGGAGGCCAACCAGCAGGCCGATGATAACCTGAGTTGGACATCGGCCAGATTTCCGCAAGCCGAAGACTCAAGACATTTCCTCGTCAAAGCTGGCACAACAAGCCCGTGGTGCATGTGCAAACCTGCAGAATTCGTCGGAGATTGGCACTTCCTCGTGCAGCCCGAGATGCTCCAATGAGCACGCGCAGAGCCTCGCAGTGTCGGAAACTGCGAGCCAGGGGACAAGACTGCCCTGGCTTCTGCGGGTCCTGCCAAGGACATGAAGGGTTCGGGGGTTCGGGAGACTGCGTGTAAGATCGTGTCTCGACAGGCGGCGCTTCTTCACTCTACAAGTAGAAGCATTGAAACATGGCTTGCTTTCATGCGGCCTCTACCACCTCTGCTGTGCACTCGTGGCCGTCAGCAGCCATTGGTATCGATACACCAATTCGAAGCGAACAACGAAAACCGGTACAAAAACAGCAGTGCAAGCTGCGAGTGTGAGTTGCAGTCGAGCTGATGCTGCGCAACTTCTGAACTGAATATGTATACACAAGCTAGCTAACAATTCCTCACTGGGATCGCCCATTTGCTTTGATCCAAACTCAGCTGCTGCAACTTTGAAGAAACAAGCTCCGGTGAGGCTTCTTCGGTGAACTAGCAACTGCAGACCTACATGGAACATGAGACGTGAGCGGCCAGAGACTGGCCTTGAGCCTGACCTTAAACCTACAGCCTACTACTGAACTGCTAAGCTCCACCGACCGAATCGAGCTGCCGACCGGTCGGAATGCATCTGCCTGCAGAAGCTCGTCCCACTCTTCTGGCTACGCGTGTATGTCACGACTGCAGGCTTCCTCCTGCAGTCACATGCTCATGCCGGTCGCCAGGCTCTCAACGGCATTAAACTCGGACGAAATGCCGGCCGAACCCTCGGACAACAATGGTTAGAACAGGTAGATCAACGCAGAGACACACGCACACACATGGACACAGGGATCCTGGGTCCTGACTTAAGCCAAAGAGGCAGAAAGCACGGCAAGATTTCCGCAACTTCAAGACTCAAGCCCGCTGTCCAGGGCCCTAGACAAGCTGACCTAGGATACGGGACATCTAGGAGTGCATCGAATGGCTGATCCTCTAAAATCCGCCTGATTGAAGTTCGAAGTGTGATTATGCAATAATGTCCTGGCACCCTCGTGCCCTGCCTCTAAAGTTCGGCACTTCCAACTTCAGTGACAAGCTTCCAATTCCAGCTTGGGAAGTGTGCTCTAGGCAAGACCGTATATACGACATCTTACGACCATGTCCCAAGCCCCTGAACGTATCCTGATATGGGATGATCCAACGCCTTGCCAGGGCAACTTTTCACAGATTCGCGATGTAACTGCTTTGGGCATTCAAGTCATGAACGCCAACCTGCAGCTGGTCCTACCTAGAGGCAAACCCTGGCCTTCACATCCCACCATCTCTGATAAACTTGAAGCAGCTGTGGCTGCGCGTCCGAGCATTTATCATTAAGCCGAGATGCCGAAGAGATGCGCCAAGGTTTCCAGTCAGCGATAAAATGGACCATGACCGCATTCTGCATGACCCACTCGGGGCTTTTCTGGAAATACTTTTGCCAATACTGATAGATGCCATCGGTAGCACACCATTCTCCAATGAGCAGAGCATAGAAGCCATCAAGCACATCGGCTTTGTCACGAAAGTGGCTGTTCACCCAATCCATCTCGCTGTCCAGCATTCCCACAGACTTGTTCATTGGCACTGAGAAATCCCTATCGAAAAAAAGCTTGCGAGGATCGAGCACCATCGGCCCACCACTTTGGACAAATGGCTGCTGCAGCCAATATGCCCGAGGTGCAGCTAGCTCAACAGGGAACTGAGCAATGTCAAACAAGTTCTCCAAGCTTCCCAGCGGGAAGGCATCAGCATCAAAATAAATCACACGCTCATATTGAAAGAGCTCTGCCACCCTAAGTTTCAGGAACGATTCCCTCCATTGTGACTCACCCTTCGCAGCAGCTGCTGACACTTGGACCATTTTGATCCCCATCCTACGAAAACGCTCTTTACCAGGTATGTCAGTATTGTAGACTACCACGAGATCTGCTTTGTGTTGGGTCGCACTTTCTTTGATAATGGAAGCGGACACCAAAATTGCACAAGCGATGTCTTCGTCATCGTCGGCAAGGTACCACGCATAGGCAAACTTGGATGGCTGCAAAGTTTGTTCGACCAGTGAATCATGCAACAAGCTTTCGGAAGCGAGCTGCTGCGGTGGACGTCGAGTGCTGGCTGACGGAAGCACCATGCCCACAAGCACGATGATGCATGCCCAGCTCACAGCCGGCAATAGGCGACATGAATACATGGAAACAATCAAGTCTCGCTAGGAAGGGACATACACGCCTGAAGCCAAAGGCAAGGCTCGCATCTCCAATTGCGTGCAACAACTTTTTTCAGAGCAATAACCTCCAGCCCTCTCTCTCTCTCTCTGTAGCTGGGCGTTGAACGGAGATTCTCTTTCTCGTTCTCATCTTCTTTCTTGTGTTTCTCTCTCATTGCCTGAGGGGGCAAGCCACCCCTAGTAGGGAGGAGTGCCCCTGGTCTTTCGGTCTCTCTTCTTCCTCCTCGCATGTCTCTCTCGCCCTCATGGGTATGGAGTCCAAAACCTCCCGGGCCGAAGGCCCACCATGATGCTGGGCTCTGTGGGGAAGGGCATGTCTGCATCAGATAAGTGGGTTCCCCGGATTTGGAATGCGAATGCTTGCAGACATGACTCCGCTCGCGCCCTCTCTCTCTCTCGCTCTCTTTGTTCTGCATTTCTAGGGGCTTGGGCCGCGAGCAGTCCTCACGACCAGTGCAGTGGTGCGGCCCCATCCATCATTCTGACAGATGAGCTTGGCGGTGCTGTTTGGCTTCGCTCTCCCTTTCTTGCTTGCCCCCATCTCCGCACGCGCACGTGCACCCGCGGTTCACGGGCGTCTTGGTCTTCCAAAAAGCTCTCGCTCTCTCTCTCTTTCTCTCTCTCCCTGCCTTCGGGCGCAGGTCTGACTGGCAGACCCGTGCCGTTAGGCACCCTCCCTCTCTTTTCTTTCGCCAGGGCTAGGGGCAAGAGAGGACTAGCCCCTCCCGCTCTCTCTCGCTCTCTCTCGCTCTTTTTCTTTCGCCAGGGCTAGGGTGTAGGGGTTTGACCCCCTACACCGCGCGCGTCAAGCGCCCCCGACAGTTGCGGGTGCCAGAGGAAAGACGTGCGCACACCACCAAGGCAGATTGACGAAAGGGCAAGCAAAGTAACACGGAAGCAAAGTCAATGCGAACCTGCCTCGGTGGGTGGCTTGAAGCGCAGGGTCATGACATGCACAAAAAGGCGCTGTAGAGATGAGTGCTTAGGAGGCTCCGCGGCCCGTCATGGAAAAGGAAAAGAGTTGCGGGGTTTCCCCGGTTTTTAAACGTGGTGCACGTGCCTCGGGTGGAGGCTGAAAAGGAGAGAGTTTGGAAGGCTCCAGCGGCCCGTCAGAAACTAGTTTACAGATCGAAGGATCGAAAGGCGGGGTTCCCCCCTATGGTACAAATCA